GGCGATCGCACAGAAATTTAGTCGCGTTCGAAATTTATTCGAAAAATAACACATCTGCCATTCATGTTTGCAGCGGTATCAACAACAAACGTAACACATACGTAACCGTTGTCCCGTTAGCGCGGAGTTCCATTTACGTGACTCTCCTCTAGCGTATCTATCGTTCTCGGCGACTTTCGCGCAAATTGATGATACGGTTTGAAAAATCGCAGCGGGGAAAGAAAGAAAGGGGATTTTTAAACAAACAAGAGAAATAACATTTTTTGGGGAGGCAAACATCCGGTTCGGTGGATTAACACAAATAGAGAGAGAGAGAGAGAGAGTCGTCCATGATTTTTCCACGTGTCGAAACTCTCGGCAAAATATCGGCTATATTGTTTATCGCAATTTTCTTTCCCTCTTGTTACTTTCGAAAACGTCGATAAAACAGATTGAGAAAGGCACAGTCGTGGCGTGATAGTAACAAGTAACGACGATAAAATAAAATACTTCCGCGACATCGTGGTGATATCGTGAATTGGGAGACGACACGCGCCTCCCAGTTTATCATTTTTTCATGGAACTCCGCGCGCGCGCCGGGAGCTACATCGACTACTTACGTATAATAATTTGAAAGAATGACATTACCTAGTGCGTGCATGTGTTCGGAGAGCTTACCATAGAAGTGACCGAACGGCCCTGCGTGAAAGCATGCGGTGAAGGATCGATGTGGTTAGAAACACATAGCGCATACGGGCACACGATTGAATTGTGTGGGTGAGAGAGGAAAGAAAGAAATAGAACACGCAAAAATATTCTAATTCGGTGTAATTGAAAAGGTAATGACGGACATTGCGCCAGCGCGTGAAAATGACGTGAACAGATTGGGGACGGTGAAGTACGCTCGATTCCGACGAAATGATGGCGAACGTACAGCCAACTGTGTGAAAACTAACAGCGTGATCGACAGCTACCGGCCCGAATTTCAAATCACTTTTATTGTCTTTTTCCCGCGGCGAATATCGGACGATCGTTACTCTCCAACGACGCGAATCAGAATGAATTACGTCGCCTTTCAGACACGATTTTTTCCCCACCAACCCCTGCTTTCGATCTTCGATCACGCATATCTCATTTTTCCTACATTTAAATCTATTTCACGAAACTCGCGAAATTCAACATTTTTTTTCTTTTCTCCTCTCTTGTCTGTTCTTTCTTTCTTTTTTCTTTTTTTCGACATCGTTTTTTCTCTTCTTCTTCTGCGCTGTTCATTTTGATGTAATGAAAGTTTGATGTGATCTTGACAGGCTACTTTGGGTGCACGGTGGGATCGAGTGATTTTTTTTTTTTTTAACGATAATCGAACTCTGAGTGGTTTTTTTGTTTTTTTTTCTTTTTTTACCTGCGGGTTCTGTGGCTGTCGACAAAATGATACGATATTCGTAAGCCCCTTCGCCGTTACGGGCTTCCAGGACGTACTCCTTCTCCGTGTCGGACTTTTGCACGCTGTCGATCGTCAGAATCACGCTCCACGCTCCTCTTCCCTGTAAACAAGAATTTTCACTTTCAGCTTTGCACTTTGGGAAATTTTGAACTAAAGTAGATTCAGTGAAAAAAAAAAAAAAAA